TGTTTCTATCATTCCGTCTTGGTCACGGATCTCTGGTTTCTCCTACCCCTGGCCTTGGTCCTGGTACTGGTTCTGGGCCGGGACATCCTCCCCTTAACAAAAAAAAGTTGTTTTGACAGTAGCCAAGATTGAGTTCTTATTCAATTTGTACGGATTTGTTGTACGCTGGCCCTTTTACGGTCCGCTTTCCCTCTCGCCTCGAGACCCAAGACTCGAGACACAACCACCACTCCACGGCACTCCTCTCCACTCAACCCATTCTTCAGATTCTCTATTGGAATTTATTTCATATTGTTGTTCCTTCCGGACTCCCACCCCACTCCATTCCATTCTATATCGTTTTGTTCCGTTCCGTTCCGTTCCCTTTTCCAGCAAGCTGCTAGAACTTGGCTTTGTTTTTGGGGCGCGCTGGCAAAAGTTCTGCTTGCTGTGGCCTCAGCTGCAGTCAATTTGAGTTATCCCCCTTGACCGGGCACTCCGTGGCCGTGCCCGTGCCCGTGCCCCACCTCGATTTGGCTGCAGGCCTGCAGATGGATCAAGTTAGCTGCTAGTTGACTCTTGCTACCAGTCGGTGGAGGGGTGTGGACTGGAGTAGCCCGGCCAATCAATGTGCCCGCAAAAGTATGCTACGGAAAAGTTGTAGCCGGCAAACAGGACAGCAGCCAGCAAACCATGTAAATGTCCTTGCCGGCCAAACACACACACGCACACGCACACAAACGCATTCGAACACAGTCCGTGACTCAATACAGACCAGCGGATTTCTTGGTATAAGCTTAATAATACGAGAAGTACGAGTACGAGTATACCCAAAACAGTGGCCATAAGTTTTTGGCTAACTTGTTATTTTTGTAATTGGCACTTCTCAGTTTTATCAAAGATCGGGAGGGGGAGTCCGGACCACTGCCACCAACCCCCGAAGGTTCTGTCCTGTTCATTTGACTTTTGTGTGTGGATCAAATTTAATCAAGTTTGTTCTTGTTTCGTGTACTGCCGTGGGTTATTTATGAACTGTGTGCAGGTGTTATGACCAATGTCCCTCTTCTGGAGCGGACCCACTCATGCCACCCACCCGTCAGCCCATCAGGCCACCAGCCCTTCAGCCCTTCAGCCCATCCCCCATCCCCTATCCATAACCATGGACACAGCTCCAGCTCAATCCGGAACTGAAGTGGCCAACGCTAACCACTTTAGAGATGAGCTGCCCTTAGCTGTTGTTCTTATACTTGCCGTTCCGTTGCCTCCTCTGGCATTACTTTGCCCCACATTATGCCGGTTAAATACCCTTACTCAGGACGTTGCAACATACTTTTCAGTGGGGTTTGCCAATAACGCGATAGCCATACGAGGGAAATATTACTCGTAATATGATTTACTTAAGTATATGCAATTTTCCCAATTATAACCCATAATTTATCTCGCAACAAAGCTGCAACTTATTATTAATATAATTAATGTGTTAGTTTATGAAAATCGACTTCTAAGACTTTTGATCCTAGAACAACCTCTACATCAAAGAAGAGCTAACTTCATCCTTCAGTCTTTTGTTCTTGTTCGAAAGAGTATCCACATATCGCTTGATCGTGGTTCTTCATTCCGTCGAGTTTGTTCCTTGCTTCGCCTCGCGCGACTTCAAATTGCCAACTTAGTTGTTATTTGTTGGCTGTCTGGCTAAAGACAGGAGGGGGAACAGGCACAGGCACAGGCACACCCAACCCGACTCGACCAGGCCAGGCCAGACCAGACTCGACCCGACACCCGACCAGGCCGGGGCAGGACAGGGCAATATTCGTGGATGAAGCACTCTGATGGCTCTCACGTCACCACTTCTGAAAATTGCGGCAATAATGCAACAAAGGTTTCTTGGGAAACACACACCAATGTGCATAAGCCAGCCATGGGGCAGGGGCACAACGTTTCGGCTGGCGTGTGGGCCAGGAAAGGGATAGGGGCAAGGTGGGTGTGACGGAAGGCTGTGGATGGATGTACTTGGCGACTGAAAGACGCCGTCAGTCACTTGGCCGCCGCCGCGTCCTTCAGCCACGACGATCTATTCCTCGTGCTCCAGCTCCTGCTCCTTCTCCGTCTTTTTCTGCTGCCAGCTCCAGCTCCTTGGCTTGCTGCTTCGTCCGTCCTTCTCCCTGCTGCATTTCATTTTCAATTTGATTTTTTTCTTCTTCTTTGCTCATTTTCCCCCTCGCCATCGCTTTCTTTTTGTTTCTGTTTACATTTTCGTTCACCGTTGCGGTTTTCGCTTTGGCTTCCAAGCTCGTGCCGCATCCCCATCCCCATCCCCATCCACATTTCCGCTTCCGTTTTCGTTTTCGTTTCCATGTTGCAAGGCAACATTTTTGTTTGTAATTTACTTGGGAATGCAGGCGCCTTCCTTCCACCGTCTTGTGCTGCGGTTTTCTAAGAAAAATCTTTTGTGTGCTCGCCACCACTGCCACTACCGCCAGCACCCTCCACCCCCACTGGATGGGCTCTAAGCCCCGCCGTTTGGGGCGTGGCGCTTTAGTAATTGCAGTGGTCCCTAACTGTGACCGCTGACAGGCAAATCAAGTGTCACCCAAATGCCCCAGATGCGGGCCTTTGCACCGCAGCAAGTCGTCGAGTGGCACAGGGCCAAAGCAATCCGCATACGCCGCGTGTGACGAAATGGAAATGGTGTGGGTGTGGGTGTGGGTGTAGGTGGCTGGGCTGTTGGGGGCTGGGTGCTCGGTGCTGGGCGTGGGTCTTGGGGGACATTGCAATGCGGGTGGTCGTTTAAAGTCTGCCTTCAGGTCTGTTCTCTCATTTTCTCTGAACACTCGTACGGCAATAAATTTCATTCGGCACTTGATCCCAGTTTAACATAGAAATGGACTGCTAATCGTGGAGCGAGTATTTCCCACCAAGTGGTTGTTGCTGTTGTTATCGCTGCTGTCTGTTGTCTGTTGGCTCTGCACAACGGCCAACAATGAGAGAAATATTCGACAAGAGTGGGGCATACCCTAAGCCGGAATCGGAAAACAATAGAAACGGAAATCGGTTTAGGGTAAGTGATCGGTTCGCCGGAATATTTGTTTATTTGGTTATGATGAACAAGCAAGAAGACCCATTGTTTGACCCATTAAGGAATGCCCTTTACTTTCTTTTGTTTGAGAATACCCCACAATTGTTGCTTTTGGGGTTTTGCCTGCGCACACAGCATCATGAAGAGGAGTGCCACAGAAGCAACACAATGAAACTGCACCGTATACACATGTCCTTTAATACTCGTACACTCGTTCACTGGTACATTCACAAGGCCTACAACAATGACAGCATATACTCGTATGTAGACACCGATTTTACCCACCCGCAGGCGGACCTGAACATAACAGAACAGAACAGACAGATATACAACTGCATACAACTACTTCCAGGGATCGACGTTTCAAATACCTTTGGATATTAGCCAAACACCACGTTTTCTATATGATAATAAGGTCCTATTTTGATCTCAAATTGTTAAAGCTTCTCCTACGAAAGTATCTCCAATGATCGCAACTTTCGCCAAACCAAAATCGTAACGTAGAGACTTTAACAGTCGATGGATATATTTTCCTGGGATCATAAAGATACATCTATGAAACGGTTAGCCTTAGGTCTTAAGTACAATAGCCAAACGGAGAGTATGGATCAGTTATAGGGTATGGACATCAAGGACAGCGAATTGATTTAGCTGTCAATTTAACGAGCCTAAAGCGAGTCAGCCTTTAAGGAACAATTCAGTAGCATTTTCTCCCTATCTCTTATTTCTCTCTGTCTCTATCTCTATCTCTATCTCTATCTCTGTGCATTTTCTTTGAGGCGAGACAGCCGCAACCACAATGGAATGGGGCCATTAGGGGAATGCCCAAAAAAGCTAATCGCCAGGTGTCGGCTATTGCCTCGTCCTTTCATTTTTGCTCACTAGTTTTTTGTGGGTGTTTGTTCCAAACAATTGGCGGTGCGCTTTTAGCCCGGCTCCACACCTGCCACTCCTGCGACTCACTCACTTATTCATTTCCATTCAGCACCCGAGTCCTTGGCTCCTGGTTCCAGTGCTGGGCACGCTTGGGCTCATTTCCATTCCCCCTCCTGCATTGTCGTTTGTCGGTTGATTCCTGTTGCTAATTTCTGTTGTCCATTGGATCTCTTGCTGCACGTGGAGGTGAAGTGTGGGCAGAGTGGGGAGCAGGATTTGGCTGGCCACTGGGGCACCTTTTACAAAGATCAGCGTGGCGACCAGGCTTCCAGCATGTGGTGGGGGTGGGTGTGGGAGTGGAAGTGGCAAATGTGTTGGGCCATCCTTTGCCCCGGCGCTTTTGTGTGCGCACAGGGACAAAAGAAAGCCACAGGCAGCACCACCCAGCATACAGCATCCAGCACACAGCATGAAGCATCGGCCAGTATCTAGTGCCATTATGAACGGATGATTCCTGCCTGGCCCAGGCATGGGTCAGAAGTGGAGCCCACCCGTCCCAGCCTCGGCTGCTTCCTTCGAGGTCGGCCTGCTTCTCCGGTTGCCATCGCACCGCACCGCAGCGATTGCAATTAATTCTGTGTATTCGCATCACGTTCCGGATCCCATCACCAAACAATTTCATACGTATTAAATGCAATGTCGAAAGTGAAAACACAATCTCCGTTTCGTTTCGTTCCGGTCCGGTCCGGTCCGCTCCACTCCACCCTCCCAGTGGGAGATTCAGCCGCCGATTCAGACCTCCTTCGGGAGCAAGGCGATTACCAGTTCGCCTCGAACTTTGAGTGCCCTAACCGTTAAGAAGATTGCGTTAAGTGGTTCAGCTTGCCCCTCAGCTTTCCCTCAATGTTCTCCAGCTTCACGTAATCCCGCCTTTGTTTACAAAACAATTTCTTGATCAGCCTCCACAGTCGGTCTATTTATACATATATGTACATATGGTATATAGGTAGTCCGAAACACGATCCTGCACTCTACTGTATTTCAAAATAGTAACAAAACGCGAATGATATTTGGTTTAATTTACTTTTATATATGGATATGTCTGACAGCGTATCCACACCACGATAGAGGTAGAGTTCTAGGCGCTTTTTATACCCGATACTAATTTTTTTATTGTGGTAGCGCCAGTGGACCTACTCCATATTTCAAAGCAAAATAGGTGTCAAAGAATGGTCCAAGTACATTTCCGAGTCCTCATCGATTTTGTCCTGCAAAGGACAATCGAAAAAGTGACAGAATCGAACAAATTACAGTGGAGAATGAATCACTTACCGACCATTGTGTATGTCTTCTAGAGTCTGCTATCCAGTATACCGTATCCAGCATTCAGTTTCGAAAAAATAGTCCGCAATTGTGTTTTATTCCAGTTCTAGAACCCACGTGTTTTCACACAAGAAATCTTGCATTTGGTAGACCTTTGGATACCAGCGATTAAATGGAAAAGGTGATTAAAAATATAACATAATGTGAAGTGGGATACATACTATAGACATGTCCATCTGATGAGTATATGTAGGTACATATGCAGTATTTATAGAAGTGTAGGTGATCGTCCTTACTGTTTCGTAGACCGTTGGATATCAGCGAAGAAATTGAAGACAAGAGTCGAGTCTGTGATGAGTATATTGTATGTGTAACCCCCAAACATCTCTAAAATCTCTCCGAAAAATCAATCCAAAAGAACATCTTTACAGGAAACAGAAAAATTAAAGAAGTGTTAACCATTTTGATGCGGAACTGATGAGGACAGGTGTCTTGAGGACCCCGGGTCCGGGGCGGGAGACCGAACAATCCGCAGACCGACATTGAGTTTTCACTTCACTTGCAGTTTCACTTAAACGTTCCGTCTATCCGGAGGAAAAAATATTTACAAAATTTCAAATTTTTATCAATTTTTTGTTTACACTCACACGTTTGATACTATGTTTTCCGAGGGAACTTATCGACAAGACTGAATTCTTTTGATTTGAACCCCGACCTAGCACTTGACAGCTCGAATCGATTGAAGTTGAAAAGTAAGGACTACTATATCGGGTATTTTCGAGAGAGAGAAAGCATGTGGAAATGTTCGACTGAGATACCGATTCGGGCGCGTACGTATGAAATATATAGAATAAATTAAAAAAATTATAAGTACCAGGTGCAAAAGTAGAGCCGCGACCATTGTCACGGCTCACAACGTACCGCTCGTTTAATTTTTTATGCCCTGGTTCCATTTGTTAAAGCCTGTTCTTTACGTACATCTGCTCTTCATTTTTTTCCATCTCATTTTCGCTTAACATATTCTTTCATTTATATCTTTTAACATTTTTTCGTACCTTGTATGATTAATAGAATCATTTCTTTCTTTAATTCAATTTCAATACGAGGTAAGTTCAAGGCAACTTTCTCCGCCTTGCTTCTTCCTATCTCCCACACTTTCTCTCGATTTCTCCCCATTCCCCAATCCTACACGGGGAAATTTGCTGTGAGACCTGCAGGGAGTGAACCTCTCTTCTTTGCTCTGAAAGCCATCAAATGAAGACGATTTAATTTCATTAATTTGCACACGCCACCCCTCTGTAGGTGAGTGACTGGGTGCAGGGGGTGGCCAGCCATGTTCACACCTCTCTCATTCTGCCAGTGTCCAGGACCTTGGCCACTTGTGTCATTGTGCCGTGCGCAGCGGACCCCCATTGGTCGGACCCTCCGGTCCCATACATTTCATCCACAAAAATGGTCTCTTAATTTTTGTAATTTGTCGTCTTGCTGGGCAGAGCAGTGGAGGTGGAGGTGGATGTGGATCCGCAAGGAGGTGTGCCACCAGGAGAATGGTCAGAGGTGGGGCAAGGTACCAGAGCAATGGTTTTAATGGCCATCTGGATATCAGCCGCAGCTTGTGGTCTCTGCAATGCGTTTGAGGGAAATGAGATTTGCATATTGTCGAAATGATGCCATCAAATAGAGATTCGAGTGGAAGAATAAATGGAATTGGGAGCAGGAGGTGGTGTATACCGGTACATTTCCCCATCCATGGCCTGTCTCCGTGATGATGTGGAAGAAATCCATCCTTTCCAAATGCCGGCGATGACTGACCAAAAAACCAACACAAAAAACACTCAAAACGAAACGAAACCAAAAAAAAATCAAATCTAATGTAAAAGTTACCTCTGCTGATCCCCAACCCTATGCAACGCCACACTGTTGGCTGGAATTGGGGCTGAAATCGAGCCCGTGTCTGGAGGGTTGGATGGTAGTCTCAGCTTAGCATGAAAGCTTGTCAAAATAATACCAACGAAATTAATTTTGACATATGCCACAATGAGTGAAGGCTGGGAAGCCTACCACCACACATCAGATACGAGACGAGGTGGCAGGAAGCTATTTTATATTTGCAGTGGTCTCTTGACTAAATCTAATTTATATAACATCCCTCGTATGTAAAAACGAATTGATATTTAATCCGAATCGCGATATATATACACACATATGTATATGTGAGTGGAATCAGCTCTTTAAACGGTTTTAGATAAAATTTAGACTGTTTAACAGCAAATCTATAATAGCACAGCGAATTACAAATTTGTTGAATTGTTGAAAAGCCCACGGTCCTTGCCTACCGTGATTAAAACGAAAAATCCATGGATTTGGAGACCTTTACAAGAACGTAGTACGTACCATGATGCAATTATACAAGGTGGTCTCGTCGTAGTGTTGGGTAAACATTGCTCATTTTGGTGAACATGTCACTAGTTCTTTTTTAGTAAGTGAGTCAACTCACTCATATTGCTCACTTGCTCTCTTAGATTGCTCAGTTACTCACTTGCTCAGTTGCTCTGTTGCTCACTTGCTCTATTGCTGACTTGCTCACTTAGTTGTTCACTATTCATGCACAGATGGTTCCAAATTTCACTATACTTTCGAATTAGCGACATACTGAATTTTTGAAAGAGTAAACAGCTTTGCCGGTAATACAAAAAGTGTGAAGTAAACGCAAATATGAGCAAAAGCTGCCAGATCGCAAAATGGCCTTTTATGAGCAAAATTGCGCAAAAAGTGAGTAGAGAACAAGTGAACAAAAAAGAACAGCTTGGAAGGAACATGTTCAGTTGCTCACTTAAGTGAACAGCTCTTTTTTTTCACTCACTCATGAGCAACACAACACTATCTCGTCGGGAGCCGAAGTTCGTTCGTGTTGTCCATTATCGTCAGTGCATGCTTGCTTGATTGATGAAGGTTGTTCACGCACGAATTTTTTGATATATTCTTAGCCCTTATTCCAGACAACAACAAAATTACATATTGTATATTATATAAAAAGCATATAAAAAAAATGCCACAGAATTAGAAGTTATCTTTATATATTATGTAAAAGAACGTTTTAATATAACTAAAATGTTGAAGAAAAATTATTAATGGATGCATAAAATTTAAATATTAATATATCAGTAATATCATTTTATTTTAAAATTTTAAAATCCACGGGCCTGTTAAGGGTTAATCAACATCAACATATGCGGTCTCACTCACACTCACTATACTATATGCATTTCACACAACCAAGCCCCGATAAAAGTTATACTAACCTACAAGTTCCAATCGATAATTGATAACAAGGTATTTTACACTGAATTCCAAATTTCTCTGCGTCCAACTTGTAAGCCGAGAAGTTGGCTGTGTGTTGTTGAACATATTACTTAGTAAAAATCGGCATCCGTTTGAAATCGTATTAAAATTTGTTTGCTCTCAATTCTGTGAAGTCGCAACTTGACCACTAACCACTCGGACCGGAACAGCTCCATCATCACGATTTCCAGGTCCGAGTGGAGCTGCTCCCCTCTTTGGTCATTGCCGTTCAGATGGATTTCTGTGCGCTTCACTTTCTCCTGCAGCTCGCTGAGGATTTGCAATGGATTTGCACTTAACTCTGGGCCAAAGCACTTTCGGAGTATTTTGCTTTTGGTTGTGGTGCACGTCAATAAGCTGTAGAAGATTCTGAACCTAAGGCTTCAAATCGCTGACGATCTGATCATTCCCCACAACGACTTGATGGTTGTCCTTTACATCTGGACGCTTCTGTTGCTGGTCTATGAGCTACCGTCCCTCATGCAGCTTCTCAGGTGAATATAGAGCCCCTTTGTGAGCTTTTGTTTGGCTGGAACTAAACAAAAAAATTTCACCCTAGCCCGAAACCAAGTAACATAGGCATTACCTGTCAGAGCACACACTATCGAACACTATCCGTGTTTGTACAAAAATTATTAAGTGGTTATTTTTTTGGTCTTCAAAACAAATGAAATTCTGTTCATAACATTCATAACAGTGTACGCATGCAGTGAAGTTATTACCGATATCCAGAATGTCTACTTATCCAAGATACGTCCGACGTAAGTTATCTGCTCCCTGGCATCTATGAACCTACCTAGTTTCCATCCTCAACGTCTCCCCGATCTTTTACAGCCACGAAAGCCAGTAATTTGAGGGCACTAGCCAACAACTTCAGGGTGAGTTCAGTCGATACAAGGGGTAGGATGCTGACCAATCTGATAAGGAATATTTTCCAGGCTTCGAACGACCCCGCTCCCATCATGCGTAGGTCACGCTCACAAGCACCCGCCCGATTAGGTGCATCGGGTAGAACTTATACGGCCCTTAATATTGCGAGTTGCAGTAGGAGCGTTTTCTCCATGCCAAATCAAAAATTATTCTCGGAGTTGACCTGGGGGTCTCTGCCTGAGAGGTCGACGGAGTCAGAGAAGGGGCAATCCACGATGTCGCAGCCAGCCCAACGGCAACTGAGTCTCGTAAAGACGGATGATACTCCCGCCGTCGGGACACGTAAGTTTACCCTCCATCTTTCTATTTCCATCCGGTACTATTTTTAACACTTTTGCCCAATCCCAGGAAAATCTCTCCTGGGGATCGTTGAGCAAAATCGACTGCTTACCGTCGAGACGCAGTACCAAAAGCTGCAATGCCTTCAATCGGATTTCGTAGAGTCATTGAGGTCATTAGACCTGGAGCAGTCCAAGCTGCTTGGAACGTACAGCTTTGTGACCCTTGTCGTCAACGAGGATAGCAAGTTGACTGTCAACAAGGAAGACTCGAGCAGTTTGGTCAAAAATTTGCGTGAGTTTCCATGGATTCCATTCCGAACTCTAGGAACACAGCTGAGGCTTCCTTTTTGCAGCGGCCGATAATGTGCAAGATCTGAAGGAACGATGTCAGGCTGCCGTCGATTCGGGATTCATGATGCTCTACGATCACCTTGAGCCCATCCAGATGGCCAAGGACGAGTTCGAGGCGTGCAGTCGGAAAGAGCAGCTGAAAGCTAAGCTGAAGGAGCTTCTGGTATGACTGAATGAGCAAACCTTCGCCCTCTGATCTAGTGCAGGACTCACCATATATCTCTCTGCCATCTATCCGTAGAACCGCAAGATGGAGAGCATTGTCGAGAATATCGAGCAGGTGTGTGTGACACCTGTCGGCCAACAGGTTTCGCCCAACATTTGTCTGTACCGCGACATAGACAAGCTGCGGAGGGAGAAACAGCTCTTGGAGGCCCAGCTCTTGCAGATCAATAAGGATCACAATGAACAGATGAATAGACTCAAGGCGGACCTCGAGGGAAAGCTGAAGGCTGGGGAGGAAAACTGGCAGCAGACCTTGCGCGACCTAAAGGAGAGGCTGCGACGCAGCGAGGCACAAAGAAACGAAAACGCAAACCAGCTGGCCATGCAGAACGCGTCTCTGCAGGCCAAAAACAGCACCATCGCGGCGGCGAAGGCTGATATGGACAATCTAGTCGCTCGGTGAGTAGAGCAGGACTCGGATCAACTGTCACTGAGTTATCTTGACTTGTCCTTGAACAGCAATCAGGAGCTGAATCAGCTATTGAAGGGGTCGGATGGTGCACTGGTCTGGACACGGAAGGAACTCGCGAAGAGCAGGGAGCATGTAGTTCACCTGGACGCGGAGCTGCATAAGGGACGGGAGCTCATAAACCAGCAACAGAAGCGCCTAGATGTCTTGGACATCCAACACGCTGGTGTGGAGAAAGATCAGACCATAGGTGATTTGAGGCTTAAGGTACAGAATCTCCTGCAGCTTATTAACCTGCACCAAGAGCAAGAGCAAAATTCTCTGAGGCTGCGGAAGAGGAACAATGAGCTGGAAACGATGATCAGGTGAGGCCCCACCAAACTTTTAAAAGTTTGGTCACTTTTGCTCCAGAGTTAAGTGCCTGCATAAGAGTATTTTCATTGCAAAATCCCCAGTGAGCTGCAGGAGAAGTTGAAGATCACAGAAATCCAGCTGGACGCCAATGACCAAAGGGAGGAGCAATTGCACTCGGATCTGGAAATCGTGAAGATGGAGCTGTTCCGATCCGAGCAGCTAGTGGTCAAGTTGCGGGAGCACTCGAATCGCGACCGCAAGACGATATCCGCGCGCGCCGACGAAATCAACGAGCTGAATCAGACAATAGATCAACTGTACTTAGAAACTGGCGAGAAGGACACGCAGATAAATCAGGTCCGTTGTCGATACGTTGTGGACACGAAACGACACGATGTCCGATACGATAGGCCGCCTATGGCAATAATCTTACTCGTTGCAGGTGACGAACCAGCTCTGCTTGAAAGAGGAGCATCTAGGCCGCGTTTTTGAAAAACTAAATCACCAGGAGGAGAAGCTCAGGCGCCTGGAGGAGCTTACAAACGTGAGCTCAAGTGACAATGCTCGCCTCTTGCTGTTGCGAGATAGGCAGCACGAAAAGAACATCCAAATGGACTGGGAGATTTCTCAACTAAAAGACACCATGTAGGTACCGGAGCAGTCAGCCAGCCCACTATAAGTGGCTTCCTAGAGTTGGTAGGAAAGAAATTGTAATACTATTTCAAAAGATTTCAAATTCCGATTTCAGTAAGGAACTGAGAGATTATATTTTCAACAATACACAGCCAGCGGCTGAAGTTCTTGGCTTCCCAGTTGGCGGCTACTCCATGCATCCAGAATATCTGAATTTACAGCCGCAGGCGGAGACGCAGGGAAATTTGGAATCCACTGTTACATACCTCGAGCCGCTGAACGGTCATTTTGTCCATCAGCACGATTTGAGCAACCATCAGCCACAGCAGCGCCACCAGTAAGCAGACCACCGATAGCGATTCCTGTAAAAATCAGCGTCATATCAATCGCATCTCCTTATAGTTTTTCCACCATCGGCTACCAGGACCACTAAGCACTGAGATCACCATTAGCATCACCAGCGTTATCCGCCACCGGAAACAGACCAGACAATACGAAAAACGCTCTGAACACTCATCGGCAAAATTTATTGTGAATTTTTTAGTCAATACTGTAGAATAAATTCGCGTTGTACTTATACTTTTACATAATACTTATTGGCTGAGAATGTGGGCCTGGTAATTGAGATGATTGGCAGTTTGAGGGCCGGGTGGCAGTAATTACTGCTTGTTTTATGAATTAATGATACTCCCAAGAATGAATAGCTCTTCGAGAGCCTATATATACTAAGGTTTTTCTTGGGCTTACTTCTTTTTTTTTATGGTATTTGAATTTTCATACATTTCAATAGCCAAAACAAAAAAATACATGGTTCATTCACATTTTAAATTTTTCAAAATTACAGAAACAAAAAATGCACTCCAAGTGCTAAATTGGCTCAATAGCATTAAGAGAAATATAAATTTGTAATTTGTTATTCCATATCGTAATGGACAATCTACAAATGATTGATAAAATCGATGAATTGCTGGTCAAAATTCCCTGGAGGCTCAATCGACGTAAGGCGATTTTCAAATAAAATCGAGTCTTGCCGCATCTTGAATCTCAATTCCTGGTGAGGATTGTCCTTGTTGCTCATCTTAATGTTGATCTCCTCGAGAATCTTATGCAGTTTCTGGAGGCGATCGTGTATGTTGAATTGGCTCTCCTGCTAGGAAAGGGAAAGACCATCACGGGCATGAATCTTCAATCGGCAGGCTACTCACACTCATCACTTTGGCACAGGACACCACTTCTATTGGTCGACACACGAGGCCACGCTCATTGGTGTTGGCGATGGCCAGCTGATCGATGCCTCCCAAATAGCTCTGCATGAGCCATAAGGGCGCAGAATTATTCCGGCGGCCCTCTTTGTCAACCTTCAGCGAAGCCAGGTGGCATTTCTTTAGCACCTCCGGATCGTTTCTATGGAATACATACAAGCACGATATATGTAATTATGTATACACATACATATTTATGTATATGCAACAGAGGATGACGTACAGATCGCCAAGTGGTTCCTTGTTCGACACGCCACTAACTTCTGCCGAGTAGAGCAGGCGAAAGCTTCCCAATTTGGCCGAGAACATTCCATACACTTGCTTCCGCTCATCCACTGGGGCATCGGTGCGCGGCAGCGCGCCCGGATAACCTGGTCGGTCAATATTGTGACGGTTATTAGCGATTATCAACGATGATGCTGATGCTGAGTGCAGCTACTTACGGGTGAAAACGTACTGACGTGCCTTGAAGGGATAGGTTTTAGCCACGCATGGAACCGTGTACCGCTCATCGTGATCTTCCTGTAATGACCGCACATAGATGCAGCCCTTGAAGCGACAGGCTGCAAAGTTCGTTTCTTTACCGTAAGTCCGATCGCCCATAAATTTCAGCATTGTTCCGCGATTGAGAAAGAAGTCCATGTGTTCGAGCACCTGGCGCGGCTTCGGCAGATGCATCACATGGTGCTGGACCAGGCCGAAGGCGCGTAGAAAGTTTCCATTTCGAGGGATGTACCGTCTATAGCCCTTTTTCAGGTCCAGCGGATATTCAGTGGCCCTCGGCTGGCGATAGTACAGAATCTGGGGGTTTCCCTTCAAACTCTTCGTATCAGGGTCGTACTCCCACAAATTCTCCAGTTTTAGGTCCACCAGATCCATTTTGTCCGTTTGCGATTCCGTATTAAGGGTATAAGCTATATTTTCTCGATATCGAAAACAAGCCGCATCAAAATTATACTGAAAATAAAGCGTATCTCTTGACTAGAAACAGCTGGCTGTGTGTGTTGGAAAACGTCAGTGCCCCATTTATTCGACTGATAGCCGGGACCGTGTTTAGAGACGGCTACGAACACTAATTTTCTCTGTATTGGCAGCAAATTTATCGAAGCTTGAGCAAAGGTTGTACAACTAATAGGAAAATCATAAAACGAAGCGGCAAAAAGTCCGGGCTTAGGCTTTCACCTATTGCAGTAGGCTTACGGCAGGCACGTACCAATGCAATATGGTCCGAGCGACCACTTTTGTTGGCCAAAATTAATAGCTCCCGAACGGAACACCGCCCCTTTTTTAAGAATGCATATTTAAATTATTAGTTATAGTGAAAAAAAAGTATTAGGCCTATTTTATTTAAGAAAACGGCGATGCACACTTAAAAAAAATTTTGATTTAAATAAAAATAAAATTGTTTAAAGGTTTCCGTAAATTATTGGCGAAATCCTTGTCTAGAAGCAAGGTTAACGCCTCGTTAGGTGAGATATGTGCCGGCTTTCCGACTGGGTCCTCTACAGCCTTACGAACTTATTCAGCATTCTCTGGGCATAAAGATACAAGTATTGAAATAAAAGCTTGTGGCCAATCCACATATTTTCGTTCAAACATCTTTGAATTTGACCGGCATTTGTTCCAAATTTTCTTCAAAAGCTTTATTCATTTCATATGATATGTCGCCTTAATTGCCGTTTTCAATTAATTGATAATTTTACCCTTCTCTGAATTCCATACGGCAAACAACTCTGCATTTTAGAATTTGAGGTTATGCTCTATTAATGCAAATTCCAAGAATTGTGGTGAAACAAAACACGTAGTAAGAACCCGACAGATTAAGATTCATCAAAAAAATGTAATCAGGTCTTGGCGTTTTTCAATTTTTGAGAGATCTAAAATGGTTATTTGGCACATTTGGCAAAAACAGTTGGGTTGCTCAGCGGGTTTTGCGAATGTGGCGCCATCTATGGTAATTTTTGGTACGCAGCTTTAATGGTCATTCTTTTTCTAATGCAGAGTGATCAAAACCAAGTTTAAGTTTTGACTTTTAAAAAATAGGTTTTGGCCAACAAAAGTGGTCGTTCGGACCATAGTGCAATGGCTTGAGGAACCAGTAAGGGTGCGAGGGTATACATCATATACATACATATGTACATGTAATTTCAACATGGCTGTGACTATGACAAAGCGATGAAATTTGTTTAAAGCACATTTGTTAATTTTCTGTCTATCAGTGCGACTATCATCTCTAATGACATAAAAACAGCTGATGTAAAAATGCAATTTTTCCGGTCAAATATTTCAGGGATGGGAAAAGATAAAAATACGCAAATAATCCTTAATATATAAAGTTTAAAGCCATTAAATAATTTGTTGGACCCCTGGCCATACTTTTGTATAAATACAAATGTTCATTTAAAAACTCAATAAGTTCTGCTCTGATTGAGCTTCTGTTTTTTAATGGTTATTAAAAGCAGCATAAATAACGTGTTTTGGAAAAATGTAGCAAAGAAATCGAATTCTTTTTAGAGCATAGCTTTATCTTTCATAATCTGTGACAATCATTCTAATCTAATCATTAATCTACACGAGCTGTAAGACAAAACTCATAACAGACCTCGATCAATGTCTGCAATAATAAATATTCAGTATTCTTGCGTGTACTCATGTACATTTATCCTATATATGTAGATACAATAACCGTAATAGCGCAAATAATGGGTTCGGCTGCGTCGAGGCGACTGTCTGCCGCCGAGAAGGCCGCGATCCAGGCGGAGTCGGGATTCTCGATTTTCCGTATTGGCTACCTGTTTGACATGTACGAGTCCCTGAGGAAGAAAAACGGAGTGGTGCAGAAGAAGGATCTAATGCACTGCCCCCCACTGGCCGGCCATCCTTTGGCGAATGCGATTTTGGACCGCAGGCTTAACCCTTCGAAAGGTTTCCGGCACTTCATCAATATACTGGAGCCCTTCCAACGGAGGACGTCGGTGGAGCGGAAGCTGTTGGCCCTACTACGCCTATTCGATAACAACGCGGACGACAAGCTCTCATCCGACGAGTGCTTCGATCTGCTCCTGCGATTGCCGTGCACGCGGCGGGAGTTTCGTGCCATGTGGCGGAGGCTCAACCGGATGCTGGTGGAGAAGGCGAAAGAGTGTGCCAGGCAAATGGTTCGTCAGCAGGCTGAGAGGCAGGCCGAGAGAATGGTTAAAGAGGAGGCTTTTAAGCTGGTTCCGGAGTGGGATCAGAAGGTAGGTAGGAAGCTGTATCTGAATGCATGAAATAAATAAAAATATAAGTAAGCATCAGAATAAGAACCCGCGGATGAAGGCACAAAAGAAGCCGCAGAAGCAGTTTGAGGAAGAGGAGGATCTGATATCTACTTGGGATCAAATCCATTTCGAGGACCTTATCTACATTACAAGGGGCATGGACCTGCAGGACTCTCTCTCGCTGCGCTTCCCCCAAGCCACAGAGCCGACATGCCCACACGCCCACTGGCAGTGGGAGTGAATTGCATATCCTTTCGCCGCTCTCATAACATCACGTTGCAAAAGTTTTCACATAAACGCAAAAGTTAAGTCATTCCTGAAAATTGTTTCTTGAATTTACTCGCGCCTTGAGCAGAACCAAGCGGGAGTGGGAATGGTGGTTGCAACTACGGAGCGGAGAAGGAAAAACATGAGCACTTTTCTTCAATGGCACTTGAGTACTCGTCCTCGTCCTCGTACTCGTACTTGTAATTCTTCCCAAGCCAGCTCCCGACTTTTGTGTGTGTCCCTTAACCCGCCTCCAGTTTGTGCTCCTGCTCCTCCTTCACTCAGCCCCGCTCGTTTCACTACGAGTACTTACTTACTTTTCCACGACCAAGTTCTGGTTTCGGTCTCGTACCCGACAGATTGCTCATTTGCTTCACTTGAGGGTCACCTGTTACGGCACGTCTGTCCCTCCTACTCGCTTACCATTCGTATGGTCATCCGTCATAAATACTGAGTAATTGGGAAAGCATTTTCTTGGGAACAGACGCACTCGTTCCGCCTAAGTTTGATTCGATTATGTACATGACGAAAAGAATCTCCTAAAAGTTTATAGTATTATTAGTAGGTCCTCCCTGCTTGGTCTACATAAGTCTGCTTTATTTTAATTTAACTCTATCAATATCCCCTTCGAATCCATCAAATCCTTAGCCATTTCACACATTCTCATAGATAACCATTTTATAATTAGCCTGGATCAAATTCGCTTCTTCCTTTGCGTTGACAAATCGCATTGTAAGTGGGATTTCAAGGGGGATTTTGCGGAGATTTTGCGGGTGACAGATAGTTTGTGCGGTTGGTGCTTTGGAATGGGGACTATAGCCAGACTATTGCCAGCTCTACGCTCTGTCCGTTTCACTTTGCTGGTTTTTGCGACTGATTGCATTTTTATCCCTTTTATACACAAAAGCCATGAAATATGCACACTAACTCATGCGTATTTTATAATAATAAAAGCGCACCGTACTCGTAAAGTGCCAAGAGATAGTTGGGGAAAATCGGGTCGTTTTTTTCCCCAACTCTCCAATTCCCGGAACCACCAATCCGTCCCGTCCCGTCCCATCCCGTCCCATCGCAAACGAACCCAAGCCCGAATGCAAAGACAAAAGATGCAACACAGTGGAGCTGAGTGGGCGGACGGACAGAAGAGGACAGAAGACAGACAGCTGAAATTCACTGGGAACCCTGACAGGTGGCACTCCGCCCTACCCCACCTGCCCCACCTACCAGTAAATCTCTTCACACGTGCCCTGGTGGGCAACTTGTTAACGCTGCAGAGCTCCAGCTCCAGCTCCAGCCTCAGCTTCTGCTTCATCCACCTGACATATGGCAAATCGGATATGCCACCATCAGCGGCATCCGTGGAGGATGTGGCGTGTGTAACAAGGTTAGCTTAGCGGCTTACTCGGTCAAGACATCGACGGGTGTTTGCGCTCGGATGGCATACTCCTCTATTGGTAAATATTTAAGGGCACTATCTTCGAATACCAGCACCCGTCTGGCGGCTTAAAGTGCAGCCTAAGCCGTCGAGTGAGAGGATCAACCGGTTAGTTGGGTGCACTGCCGCAAAGAAGTCAGAGGTGCAGCTGAGGAGGGGTTGGGGATCAATTTACGGAATTGTTTTAAGGCAAAATCATAGTTTAATGGAAAGCCCACTGTAATACTAGGAAACTAGTAGAAGGAGGAGTAGTAGGAGAAAACTATGTTGTTTGAGAGGTGATCTACTGAACGGGGTCAAGAGGGGTATTCGGTAGGCGGACCGAACCTTCTACCCTCCTCGTCCTTTAAGCTCCCTTCGCCTGTCTACGCCACTGGTGTCTGCCTAAGCCGTCGAGTGAGAGGATCAACCGGTTAGTTGGGTGCACTGCCGCAAAGAAGTCAGAGGTGCAGCTGAGGAGGGGTTGAACACACTTGGGGATCAATTTACGGAATTGTTTTAAGGCAAAGGCATAGTTAAATGGAAAGCCCACTGTAATACCTACTAGGAAACTAGTAGAAGGAGGATTAGTAGGAGAAAACTATGTTGTTTGAGAGGTGATCTACTGAACGGGGTCAAGAGGGGTATTCGGTAGGCGGACCGAACCTTCTACCCTCCTCGTCCTTTAAGCTCCCTTCGCCTGTCTACGCCACTGGTGTCTGTAGTGGGAAATTTACATGCCAAGCAGCTGCCGGAGGAGTCGAAGCTTGTCAGAGAGGCGTTGATTGCCTCGCTGATCAATTGAGGCATCGCCAATCAACCGCAGAGTCATCCCGGATTCTAGATTCCTGGGTGGCTAGGCCAACTGGGCCGATAGGCGTAATTCAATCGAATCCTGTTTCTGTTCCCGTCGTTATCCCTGCCCCGTTCCATAACTTCCCTTGCAATTTGCCATATTTTGTGTCACGCTTTGTCCTCGTTGCAGTTTTTATGCGACGCGGATGGGATTGCTGCTGCTAACGGGCAGTGGTGTTGCATGTGCAAGCTTCTTTTCTTGCCCCTTTGTCCCCTTTTCTTATGCCACACCACTCTTATTCTTTTTTATGCTCCTGCCGCTGCTTAAACGTGTTTCAAATACGCGATTTCGCACCCACCCAAAAATTTGGCAAGCGAATTTGCATCGTCTCAGAGAGGGGTAAAGAGAGCTTGGAGGAGTGGGAGAGAGAAGAGAAGTGGAGCAGAGTGAAGGAACCATCTGGAGCTGGTTGGAATACGAATGTAAAAATTTTCGCGCTCCATTTTATTGGACATCATATAAACATTTTGTACCACTATCGGGCTAGTCTGGGGTTCCACTCCCTTTATGTCCGCTGCTTGAGACATCTTGCTGTTCCAGAGATCGGACAGCCTTGTGGAGTAAGAGCGAGAACGAACTATCGCCGTGCCTTTCATTGGGCTCACCCTTGTTTCTCAAGCATATTTATTATCATGTCGAAGTGTTATCCTCGTTGGCCTCGAACACAGACCTCGAACAGGACCTGGACCTGTGGATGGGGCTTGGAGCTGTTGGAGCTGTTGGTGTTGTTGTAACTGTTGTTACTCTTCATGTTAACATGTGTTCGAATCGTTAAGGCGAGAACTTTGTGCAAAATTATTTGCTACAAAACACTCCACGTGTTTGCGCCTGGCTGACTGGCTGCCAGCCTCCCCTTCACGTACATACATATGTACGTATGTACGTATGTATGTCTATCCCTATCACTGTATATATATGCATCTATGGCTGTCTCTTTCTCTGCTTCTTTGTGTTACTGTGTTAGCACTGTGTGGCAGAGAGAGCCTGGGACTGGGCGCCAAATAACACCAACAACAGCTCATTGAGTTTTAGAAAAGTTGTTAACATGAACATTTGATGTCACAACATTGCCCGACGCCTCTTCACTTCCACTTCCACTTCCCCTGACTACGACTACGACTACGGTCATGTGTGTGCTGGAGTCAGTGACTGTGTGTGTGCGGGCAACATCCTTGAAAATTCGTAGTACACAGTACAGGAGTGGATCCAGTAAGAGGGAGCTACAGAGTCGGACCAAGCGTATCCATTATTGCGCCAAAAGCACCAAAAATTCACCAAACCCGTTAACAAAAGTTGGACAACCCACCCCACCCACTCACCCCCTCTCCCATTCCCATTCCCCTCCCCCTTCGCCACTATTCTCCTTACTTGTTTTCAGGCAAAGTGGCAGCAGACAAAAAACAAAACAACAACAAAAATAGAAAGAAAAACAAAAAGTGGACACAGAAAAATGACAACAACGACAGGAAGAGCAAAAACTTTTACACTTAACAGACAAAATTGTCTACAAATTTAGTTAATTTATATTATTTATTTAGTAAGTTATAGCTTTGGGCTTGTTGCTGGGGTTGATGGGGTGGTGGTGGGGGTGGGGTTTGGGTTTGGGTTCGTCCTATGTCCCGCTTTTAGGCGGGGGGAATAATGTTGGAATTCGCATGATCCTCAACGGCAAAGCTTTGAGCTCAATGTTTAAGCTATAAATTGTATTAATACTCAATAAACCCTTACATACATACAAACATTTTATATTTATATGTACGTACTCTACTACATACATATGTGTCGCATCCTAATTTTATTTTCAGTTTATTCTGAGCTGTACATCACGAGATTGCTCGCAGTGTTCCTTTTCGTTGCCTTCTTTACAAAATACCGTTTTGTTATTGTTCACTGTCTCTCCCATTGCTAGTGAAAGGGTGCGTGGGCGGGAGACGACTCGTGCAGAGAGGATCAAGAGGTACAAGATGAAGAGAGCGCTCGCGTGTGGGTTAGGATGAAAAAGAGCGACATGGTAATTGCGACACAGACAATGATGCAATTATACTGTGTGGTCCGCTCAGCCTCTTTAGGGTCTTATTTTACGCTCAGCACCACTGAGAGCGCTTTGACGCGAAAGAGAGATAGAAGAGCAAGCAAAATAAGACCCGAAAAGAGTGGGCTATGGATATGGTCTGGCATTTGAATTAACTTTTAGGAAGCACATTTAATTTGAATATGAGGGTCAGGGCGTTTATCTCTGGGTGTAGTAAGTAATCTGGCATGTCCTGGCATGTCCATTCCGTATATCCCCTATGGTAATGCTAATCCTCTACGTACTTCCTCTATATTCATATTGCTGCAATACATTCAAAACTTGCCCCTGTATCCTTTTTATTTTTCGCCATGTTACCCATGTTTTCTTTAAATCCTCCATTTACAATATGCTCGTGACCCATAAATCCTATCCATACACTTCCAATATATACATAAGTACTATGAACATATGCACATACATACATACATATGTAATCCCATCTAACAGTTAGCTGCATCCCGTCATTCCACCAAACCTGTGCGCTGCTTTAACCAGCAGTTGGTTAAACTGCAGAAAAATGGAGACCTTGTGGTCACCAGAAAAAAAAGAACAAAAAACGAACCGGAAATGCAACAAGGGACAGACGGATGGCCACGCGATGATGGTGGAGCGGGAGGAGGGGCTTGGAGTGCTGCAGAGTGGTGTAGTGGGGTGTTGGATGCTATGTTAGGGCTA